CAAACGGGTTGATCAGGACCTTGAATTTCTTGTAGCGCTGGGCATTACCGTATGCCAGATCAAGTAGCCTGGCCGTGAATGTTTCGGCCTTTGCTTTGTCTTCGTCTGCAATGGTGTATTGCAAAGCACCAACGGTAACATCGTGCTTGGTTACAGGGTCCGCATATGTAATGGTCAGACCTGCCGAGGAGACTTCTGCATGAAGGATATTGTACAATGCGATAGATTGAGTTTCTTTGGTCTCTGTATTATCCACTAACATTAGCCATGGTCCTAATCAGATCGGACGATCAATTTGCCTTGAAATATGCCTGATTCAGATCGCAAGAGCAGCAAGTGCCTATTGATACCCGAGACACACGATAAAAGTCGAAGAGATAGAGAAGCGAAGTAATGGAGAAACCTACTCGACTTTGACAGTAATCCGCAGCAGCCGCGGTCCGGTTTTCGCGTGGAGCGATCGTCTGTAGAAGTACGAGAAGCTGGTTAGAATGCGCAATGTGCAACCATGACATGCACGCATGGATTGTCAGACACTGCTCACCAGCAATAACAAGCGCATCGCTACCCAAAGTCAAGGTAATTGACTGTCCGACTGTCAAGGTCGAGTCGGGTTGGAGTAACTGAGAGTGGGAATCCGGCTGATCCGCATTGAAGGAAGGGCGAGTAGCGCCGTCGGGAGAAGCCATTACTACCTGCAAAAGCGAGTAACCATTCCAAAACGAATACAGAAACGACAGAAAGACAAGACAATAATGATAATCAATGATGATAGTCAATATAAGAATGAAAAAGGCAAGAACTTCTTGGAGGATGTTCGAGATTGAGGTAGAGTCAGTTTTGACCTAGGTACTTTATTATTTCTTAGTAGTTATGGAGAGAAAGAGGTTAGCCCCAATATATTGGAGATCTCAGAGTGGATTAGTTTCCCCACCTCAGGAACAGCTTCCTTGGATGTTGTTCATCGTGCCTTTCGGAAAGACGGAAATAATAGCCAGGAAAAAGTCTCCCTAGTAACAGTCAATCTAAGTGTCCTACTTCTACAGCCAATTGATGATGACACGTAGAGATTTCCATGGCTGACACAAGCTACCGAGGACAATCTCTCTGTGTCCAAGTGTGTAGTCGGTGGTTTGAAGTTGATGACCTATGATTGTCTCCACTGATCCTTATCAGCTGACATACCACTCTATTGTCGGCGTTATCGGTTAGTTGCTCAATTGTCTGTGCTCGTTCTTTCCCAGTGACATCCTGACTGAAGGACCACTAATGAATTGGGAAAAGTTCTTTTGTTGTTCCATCTGAATAGACCATTCTCTAATCAGGTACAATAAGGAAAGAAATAAAAGTGGCATATAGTCAACAGATTCGTCCATAGGAAGAGAAAAAAAGAGTAATCAAGAGCCATGTAATACGGGTGACTATAATCATAGGGTAACAATTAATCAAACGCTGACACCAAGAATTCATACTTTCTCTCTTCATGCCGTTGAAGCCTTCAGGCCCTTCAGCGATCCTAGGCTCAAAGCAAGACCTTGGGAACGGCTTCTTATCCGTACGAAACCTGTAATCGGACCATCTTCGCCCTCCTTCTCAATGCTCAGATTTGCAAGTGCGTCCTCGCCTGCATACAAATTCCAAGATCAGCGTTTGCCAACCCAAAAAGGAAGGATAGGATAAAAATCGGGTACTCACCAAATACGCTTCGGGCATACAAATTGGCGCTCAGGAACCGGCAATCTCCCTTGAGTGAAGCTTCCGGAGTCAAGCAAGCCATGTTGGTGCTCTCCATGAGTTGTTTGAGGAACTCGCGAAGGCTCTTCGCCTTGGAGTTGATGTTGACCTTGTTCTCCCACTCGAACTCGGTCCACATCGTCCGGAATTGAGTCTCGGTGCAGTGAGCGGGCTGGATGTAATCCATGATATCTGCATGGATATCATTAAGAATGACAACATGGGTTTCAGTCGAGCTCGCTCCATCATATACAATGTTGCCGAAGATGACACCCGTATCTGTGGATGACACCTTGACTGTAGCCTGTACATTCAAAAAGTCACGAGGTCCCAGGTTGTGCGTGGTTGGTCGCTCAACTACCTTCAGATCACCAAGAGTGGCAAATTCAACAGACAGGTTCTGCAAGGTCTCGAGAGTCTGGTTGACAAGGAGCACATCGAGAACGATGTCAAACTGATGAACGGTGACATAAGCCTCGGCGTAGACTGGATCCGAGAAGCCGGTAAGTTGCACAACTCGGCTCAACTTCGAGGCCGCAGTCTCCACTGTCGAATCGCCGCCAGTAGCCTTGGCCAGGTCAAGTTCCATTTCTTCTGCACCCTCAAGACCAGACTTCTTGGTGAACTGCCGGATGGGAATTGCATCGTCAACCTGAACAGCAGTCTTGGCCTTCTCAACAGCTTCCTTGGCCGCACGCTTCTTATCTTCCACCTGTACCATATCACGGAATGCTTTACGTGTGTCTTCCAGGAAGGTAGTCTCCAACTCCTTTCTTTGAGAGAACTCACTGAGAGAGCGCACGCAGCACATGATACGATCAATAGAATCTTCGTCAATGGGAGCCTTGACAAACTGAGACTGTCCGACGCGGATAATAGAGATCATGATCAACATCGCTTCAGCGCGCAGTGCGTTCGTCCGAGCGACGTCCTGCGAGACCTCCGAGTGGCGCATTACAAGTTTTGTTAACGTCGAGGAGAGAACGGTAGCTAGGTAGTAGTCACCGTCGAGGATCAACTGACGAAGAGGAGGCTTTTGAGCAGCCTTGACTGCCTCAAGTCTAGCGGCAGCAGCGGACTCGCTAGTCAAAGCACTCTCAGTCGCATACGTGCCATCGGCCAGCACCTTTCGAGAACCAGTCGGAGCTGAAGGCTTGGTATGGCCGTTGACTTGCTCTTTGAGTGCAGTCTCATCGGGCACCTCGTCAAGGAGCCGCTGTTCAGAAGCCAAAATGGGAATCTCTCCAAGGCTTGACCGGATCCGCTTCCAGGCCTCACGGATGTCTTTCTCCTCCAGGGAATATTCTCCGACAACCCACAGTACACCACGGTAAACTTTTCCAGCACGAACTTCGCTCAAAGTAGAAACGAGGCGGTCGACGATAGAAGCACGAAGTTTAGGGAATTTCTCCACAACTTCCTTCACAAATGAGATTACGTCGACGGCTGAGTTATTGTTGAAGTCCGCAATGAAATCCATTAGGAGGTCGACGACGCTAGCAGCAATCTCAGAGAACTTGATGGCACAATGGTGTATCGACTGGATCAAGAGCTGACGATATTCACTGTTCTGTGTACGTTGTCAGTATTCGATCCTTGCTGCAGATCAAAAAAATATCCCTACCTTCTCGTACTGCTCATCTACCGTCTTGCCTAGTTCCTTCTTCAGCAGCATAACGACCTCTTCAACATTCTTGCTAGAGACCATTTCCAAGGCGATACTGAGCGCTTTGCGCCGAACATCAATGTCAGGGCTGGAGAGAACCCGAAGAATTTCCATGGTAAGATCATCCAAAACGCCCTCGTTGCGACTTCTAAGCTGATCAACTCTGTCGAGTACAATGAGCTTGACATTGTTGTCGGCTTCTTTGATGCAGAGCTCGATCAATTTGCCTGCCGCAGCTTTCACGGCCACTGGGTTACTGGTAAGAGCCGTGAGCGACGTTGCCGCTTCGTATACCACTGTACTTGTCGACGCCTCTAGTAGATCAAAGATGAGACGCAAGTATTTTCCCTTTTATTTATTAGCGTCGCGTATGATGCATGCTTGACAGCCGACCCACCTTGTTCTGAGTGTTCTGCACCGCATCCTTCCTGATGAACTCAAGCTCCGCCAATTGAAGTAGTTCATCTGTGTTGGGAATGCTGTCAAAAGTTGTGCCCAGGTATTCAAGAGCCTTCTGGTGGCTGATGGACATCAGAGCAGCGAACGCATTGCGCTTGCATGTACTATCAGTCTCGGATTCGAGGAATGTTTGAATCAACTCTGGCGCGTCTGGGATTAGAGACTCGGAGTGTTGGAAAATGGAAGCCACGGCCCAAACTGCATTTTTCCTCACATATGCGTGGCGATGTTCGAGGCATGAGCGTGCGGACGAGAGGAGGGGTTCGATGAGCTCCGGTTCACGGAGCTTACATAGAAAGCGGAGAGTGTTGCCTCGAATGTATTCATTGGGATGTTGGAGGTCATTGCGAATACCATTGCTGCGCAGAAATGGATTGATTAGTCTGGTAGGAGAGCCAAAAGCGTGCGATTCTGTATCCTTACCACACCAAGATCATCTCCTGCTTGAGTTTGCCATTGGCGTCGTGCTTCGGGCAGATTTCGTAGTAGAAGTAGAGTAACTTCTTGAGAGGCTTGCTCTTCGACGGCATAACAAAGCGAATGATGTGCATGAGGAGTTGGGACATCGGGTCGCCATTCAGCATGATTGTGATGATCCGCTTCATTGTTTCCACCTTCGTCTCATCATTGCCCTTCTCTAGTTGTAATTTCAGCTCCTGTACAGTTGGTTGATCAGCAGTATTGTCCAAATGGACCAAGCTGTAAGCATTTTCCAGAAATGACGCCATGGTGCCTGGAATAGAGAGGCAGACGGCCGTAAACGGGTGGTGGGAGGATAAGGAGGGAGGAGAGCTTGGGAGTCGATTAGTACAAGTTGTCGTTTAGCATTCGAGAGGGACGGGAGAAAATACCAAGATCACTCTCCCGCAAACACGTAAGTAGGATGGTAGATGTTATTTGACTTAATTAAGCTCCCCTCACCTGCCTTGCATTCATCGGTGCAATTGTTTGGCAACCCGGGGCTTGAGTATCAACTTGTCCATTTGCGCGGCGGAGCAAGCTGTCCGGACTGTGTGGATGACTAAGCTTCGCCCGGGCCAACCTGTAAACTAAGGCAGTCAAGGTACAAGGCCGCCTCGACCGATGCAATCTTGCTTTGAAAACGTCAGTCCCGACATATTTGCTCTGAAACGTGTTCAAGATGTCGAACCAGAACGAGCCTTTTTATCTCCGCTACTAGTAAGGCAGACCATTGCTCTATAGCCCAGATTTCCTCAGCTGCTGACAGCCCCGCAGCTCAGGTCACTCTGGGCGGTTTGGGCATGAGTTTCTAGGTCAGTGTGCACCGAAGTTATTCTTGTTCTCTTGCAATGACTAACGGCTTGTAGAATTCGATTTTCGGACCCTTGGCGACGGCCGAAGTGCCGCGGTTCGGTATGCGAACAACTCGAACTATCGCAACGACTCCCTGATCCGCAAAGAAAGTGAGTACCAGGATTCATGACCGCGTGCTGAGGGCTACGTGCTCACTGATGGGATTTACAGTGTGCGTGAGCTCGGCGATGATCCAGGAGGTCAAGCGCATTATCAAAGAGAGCGAGATCATGAAGTATGGGCATTACCTTGGCAATGACATGCACGGAATCGTAGTCTGCTAATACAGCTTAGGGAGGACGATTCGAAATGGCCACAGAAGAACAAGGATGGACGGCAAGAGCTCGAGATCAGACTCGGAAACGAACATATCTCCTTTGAGGTGCGCTGAATCCCCGATACGGTGGTCTAAGCAAAGGTACAGCCAAGTGCTAACGTGTTTGGATTGTGCAGACCGCGAAAATCGGTTCGTTAGTAGACGTGACCGAGTCTGCAGACCCCGAGGGTCTCCGAGTTTTCTACTACCTCGTTCAGGATTTGAAAGCGCTCATATTTTCTCTCATCTCTCTCCATTTCAAGGTAATTTTCCAAGATTTTTTCGATCCTCCAGACAATCTACTTACCCTTTCATCCCTTCTGCAGATTAAGCCTATCTAAGTCATACTACGGATATGTGGTGAAGTCTGGTTTTGGGAATCAACATGGGCGTTTTCTTCGAGAATGGAACGGGTTTACTATAATGATGAATCTCGAAATGATCTAGCCACGGTGACGAGACTATACACATCCGTGGCAATCTACTGACGTAGAGAAATGAAATAAAATACTTAGCTCAATCCTATACACAACGATCAGCTCAATCGAGACTAGACTTTTAGCATGAAGTTGATCTACTTATAGTCCGAAAATAAGTAGCAAGCACTGCCCAAGAGTGAGCGCATGCCATCTCATCCCAAAAGGCCTGGCCAGATGTTCTGGCCTCAGGCGCCAATTCGCCTCCCCCGCGCCCGCATGATCAGACTATCCCTTTCAGGCAGTGCGTCTTCCCGCTCAGACACCCTTCTGTGCTGCACCTTGAAAAGTAATCTTCCATCTTCCATTCAACCCTGAATTCTCTTTCCCTCTCTTGGCTGTCGCTGCTATTGTGGTTGTTGTGTTCCTGCTTCTTCTTCTTATCGTTCTTCTATACCCTGTGTGGGGGCCCTGCAAGCTGATTAGATCCGATGTCATCCCGTCCTTAATTAGCCTCAATGCCGACACCGAGTGACAACACATCTCCTCTGAATGTTGCATCAATCACCGAGGACATATCTACTCATACAACCTGCCCACCTGAAGTTGAGCGATTGTCCTCTTGGAGAGACTCTCCGGAGCCCTCTGCCACGGAGAGCGATGTCCCCGACAATGCATCGTCACCTTCCATTCGATCAGCGCACACCCTCTTGACGGCCCAACCTGATGGAACCATCAATCAGTCCAACACAGATGTCTCAGGAGTTGCATCGGGTCATATCGCTCCTGAAAAAGGCACGATGAGATCCGATGACGAACTTGCATTGGGCAGATTGAGCCCTACGAGGGGAACAGCAAGCTCCGCAAAGCCATCGTCGACTGTTGCATCGCCATCAACTGCTTCACTTCTAAGTTATGAATTTTCTAATGTTCGGGTTAGTGAGCCAGTCTCTTGCGCCGATACCATTGCTTTACTGACACTTGACAACAGCTTCTTCCTAATTACACCTCTTCTTATCTTCGCCCTGGAAGCAAATTCACTGGTACACAACAGTCGGACCGTCAAGTGTACAACGTCGACGTGGAGATCAAACATGTCGATATGGCTGAATCTTACCTCTGCGGATATCTTCGTATCCAAGGTCCGTGAAGTATCCCCTATGTAAACAACATTATAGCTAACCTTCTCTTGCACCTGTAGGTCTCACCGAGGATCATCCTACTCTGACAACGTTTTTCGAAGGAGAAATCATTGGTACCAAACACACTTTCAAGACCAGAAATGAAGCGTGGGGTGCGACGGAGAAGACCGACATGCACCATTGGGCCAGATTTCCTGCCTGGCGGCCTCTTGCCAAACAGGCGAAGAAGCCTGATTTCACCTACTGGAACTTCGCAGAGCGTGAACACATATTCATGCGATGGAAAGAGTACTTTCTCGTTCCTGATCATCGGGTGAGAACGATCTCAGGTGCGAGCTTCGAGGGCTTCTATTACATATGCTTCAACCAGATTGAAGGAAGCGTGACCGGCATTTACTTTCATGCGAAGAGTGAGAAGTACGTATCGGTCAAACAGCTAACCGTTCTTGGATTCTGAGTACTAACGCATCCTCGATTTCCTGCAGGTACCAGCAGCTTGAACTGAAACACGTTGAAGATCATGGCTGCACTCCCGCAATGGAGTTCCGTTGATTCTCTTGATACCCGCCAACCCTTGCGTTGGTTTGTTCTGTTGCTTGCAGACTGCCAGGCCCTCGCACCTGGATTCTCTGTCGACCTTTCAGCCCTGACCGTTTCTTCCTCTTCTCTCTTGTGTCGTCGTTTATATTTATTTTCGGTTTACTGGTCACGATCACGCTATCTCATTTCCTCAACGGCCCTGAGATCCACGTTACCACTACCGTTCCTTGACCGTCTACGATTCCTCTATGATGTCTTTCCATTTGGCGCAACTTGGTTCACATGGTCTTTTTCGATTCTACTTTGACGTCTTGTGAATCTCATCATTTTGTCCTGTACTGCGGTTCGCGGTATCCAGCTATAGGTATGAACAGCTGCCCTGATGAACCTCTCATATTTTCTCTCATGTCTGTCCACTTCATCCGGCTTCCTGGGAACTCATGAATTCAGTTTGATGTCTTTTATTAGCCTAAAGCAGCTATTGAAGACTACGTGCCTGTCGCACATCCGGTATCAGTAATTTCACCAAGATTATCACATGCTTGGACCCGTTCAATATCTGATACATCACATAATGACTACAGCCAATGCAAGCACGAAAGACGCGGAATAGCTAGTACTGCGTAGATACATCCGGATAACTAGCTGACGTGCAGAGCGCCCTGGCTAATATCTCCAACATACACAATAGGGCATAAGAGTAAATCTTAAGTGCTTCAAACAAAGGAAAGAAAAAAAATAGCAAGTTGGGGGTATCACGGGCAATTTCTTTGCTGGAACTTTTGCGAGCTGAACTTCTCGAGCGGAGGAAGAGAAACGAGGAGGAAAATAAGACGTGAAGTGTGGAAAGTGAGCTGGAGCTTCCGTGAAAAACTCTGAATAGAAATTGAGAGCGAAAGGATGAAAATGGCAATAAAAGATTGGACAGGTGGTTTACATGTATGTGGAATTTTGGCGGCTGCACGAATTGGAGCTGCTGATGCTGCTACTGCCGCCGTCACTGCTCGGGGTCTGGGGCTCAACGACGACCTGTTGCCGGATAGAGACAATCCATTCGTGCTGTAGCAGCTCCGCGGCTGTGGGTCGCTTCATGGGATCGCATTCGAAACAACGGCGGAGGAAATCAATGCCCAGTTCGCTGAGTTGATCGGTCGAAGGTAGCTGGGGCTGATTTCCCTGAGCGATGTTGTACATAATCGCCCACTCGTTGTCTAGGGTAGACCATGGTCGGCGACCGGTGGCCATCTCCAAGATCACACATCCCAAAGACCAGATGTCGACCGCTCCCTGACGGTGGATTAACCTGGAAGTATCGCCGCGAATCACTTCGGGAGACATGTACATTGGTGTTCCGGTCATCGTCTTTTGGTTCTTGCCCCGCTGATGCGCCATTTGGGAGTCCTTGGGAACGAGAGCGGCATCCTTGTGATTAGGTCCGGTAAAGGCATCCATCGGAACTACGGTCTTGCCCTGGCGCGCAATGATTTTGGCAGCGCCAAAATCGACATACTTGATGATGCCGTTATGGTCGAGAAGGATGTTCTCGGGTTTGATGTCGCGGTGGACAATGCCGGCTTGGTGTAGATATGCCAATCCTTCGAGAAGTTGTAGAGCATAGACCATGATGACTGTCTCATCTTCCACACGACCATGCTCAAGCAAACTGGCCAGAGATCCGCCAGAGCAATATTCCATGAAGATATAGACTTTGTCTCGATGCACCTCGATACCATGGTAGGAGACAATGTTAGGATGATCAAGGACCTCCAATACTCCCATTTCGTCCCGGATCTGTTGGGCAATCTTCGGAATAAGTTGAGGGTCTTGAAGACGAATTTCCTTGACCGCCATGAGATAGTTGCTGTCGAGGTTGATGGCGGCATAGACAGATCCGAAAGTACCACCTCCGATGTATTGGCCTTGCTGCCATCTAAGTGTAACGTTGGTCGCAGAGGACGAGAGGACCGCAAGAGACCGGTCAGCCTCGTTGGACCCTTCAAGTACTCTTCCGAGGGCCTGGCGCTTGGCGTCTTCTTCCACTCGTTTGTCTTCGATGTCATGCAAGCGAGCCAAACGTTGCTCGCGAACAAGTTTTGTAGCTTCTGCATCTGTAAGGATTCGGCCAGCGCCGATTTTCCGGGCTCCCGCGCGCTCCTCCATGCGCTGCTTCTCCGCTTGTGCGGCAAGAGAGGAACGGGCACCCATGATATCGAAGTGAGAAATCAGCAACGACATGCATCCGGCCACTTTTGACCTTAATTGACTGAACTGGGAATCGTCCATTGATAGAAGGTGTCTGCTGGAGGTGATGGCCATTGCGGATTCAAGGGCAGCTACGGCCCACTTAAATGTCTTTCGGTCAGCGGCATCGCAGTCATCGCAAATGAACGAAACCCATTCCAGTGATAGTTCGACAAGCCTAGCGCTATTCATAGCACGTCGGTTAGGGTCGACATAGTTTGAAGAACGCTTGCCAAACTCTGTTGCGAAAGCATAGCAGGATTGGATAAGCTCCGTGTTCTCTATGCCTCTCGATTTCAATTGATCTTTGATGATCGCAACACTGTCCATAATAGTCATAGAAAGCTTGAATGAGATTTTCTTAATCTTGTTCAACTCCACGTTGACTCGTCCAAGGTTCGCCCGTTGTTCAATAGCCATATCCAGCTGCATGCCCGTTAACTGGACCAGCTCATGCCGAGCATTAGCGAGTCGTTGCTGCGTTCCTTCAACTACAAGACGACATTTGCCAAGCCGGACATCCGTGGGCTGTTCCAGGAAATCAACCTGCATCTCCTTACCAGCCCAAGACAGAGGCTTTTCAGGGCGGATAACCAGAATATACGGTGCGTGGGCGGAGTCCTTGGGTACATCTTCTTCTCGAAAAGAGGTCGCAAGGATCGCTTGAATGTCCGTAGGTCTGTTCCACAGCGCATGATGCGCGAAGAGGTAGACACCTTTCTGGCCGATAGAGGCGTTTGACTTCACCAGAAAATGATCCGAAATAAGCAACGCTTCGAAGAAATCGTAGGCGATATCAGCGGAGATATTGTATTCAGTAGCGTTTTCAAACAGTTGACGCAGAAAGCGGGAGAATCGATAAAGCTTCCGTTGTCTGATTCTGGTGGAGTCGAGCACACTTTTGTATCTCTTATCCATATCGATCGGGTCTTCATTTGGACGCGCCGTCAACTCACGCTCAAAATGGATCATTAGGCGTTGAAGTGACTTGGCTGTCAGAGC